CTTTATTTTCATGAGTGCAATATTTTCTACTTACTACTAATTTGAAAAATGTTGATCATATTTTTTGTTCAAATTTCACACGTTTTGGAAAATTATGTTGTTGGGAACTTCATGATAAAATTCTATATTTCTGGAATTTTGCGAGCAGAGGGAATGAGTCAGATTCCGCAGCTCAGTAAGTTACAAAATCTATTCTTCAGAGCAGAAATTATACTTACAAAAGGTTTTAATATTAAATCACTTGAAAGTGCTACTAGATATTCGAAATTGATCATAATAGAAAATAAAATCATTTATTTTCATCTCAATAAATAAAAGTTCGTTTTATACGGACCAATAAGATCCAGTTTTAAGATTCATTTGCATTATTCATTCTCATTAATCCTACAGGTAACACTGACCGTATTTATTTTATATGATCTCGCATAATTTCCTGAATTATTCATTTTCATTAATCCTGTAACACTGACCGTATATTTGTATAATCTCACATAATTTCTCTAATGTACGCATGAATGTCTTAAATATATTTATTGTTTTGTTCAAAGTTTTCTAGATTCGTAAAGCTTGAGGGCCAGTGAAAGCGAGTAATTCTTCTTTCGGTGAAAGAACCGGTTTTCATTGTAGTAATCCATCGTGTCCGAGAAGCGAGTGTACTGCTCCAAGTATACGAGCTAGAAAGGTCGGTCGACTTCTCAGTTCTCAGTTTGTGGGTCGGCCAGGTTTTAATCTCATTTCTCCCTCGAAGAGACTTGAAGACAAAAGTGAGAGTTTATCCACAAACTTTCGTCGTGAAGCAAGTGGAGTAAAAATGTGACTTTAATATAAAACGAGAATATTTTTGCTTATCATCTATTCCATAAAGACGAGCGTGTGATAAAAGATGTAAATGATGTACTTCAGTATACTCGTGACTGTACCACTGACAGTGAATGATGTATTACAATATACAACGTTTAACAATCCGTGTGCTTAATATTGCGAAATATTCTCATTTAAATAAATAGTTCGAAAACAAACTTACTCACTTACAAACACTTATTGTTTGTGTCACAGTTTTTTGCTGTTTTATATCACTTGATTACTGACTAAAATAAATTAATTAAAATTTAAAAGTAATTATTTACAATAAACCATTTGATATACTGAAACTTAAGCTTCAAGATATTCGCAATATTTCCATATGCAAAGACGATTAATGCGTAATGCACAAAAAACATATTACAACATACATTCCTGGATAGCAAATCGAGAAAATGAAAACCGTACGAGGTCCAAATATTAGAATTGTTAAATAAATGGCGAAGATGTTCTAAAAATTAGATTTAGAAAAAGGGAATATGCATTATTTTATTCTTCGGCGCTAACTGTCTGTACTACTTCGGTCCCGAGTCTTTGGAAGCCACTTCTCCATTAAGCTGATACGGCAGTTACCTTAGTAAGAAACATGATGTGGCCGGTCGGGATGGCCGAGATTGCTAAGGCAGTAGTGCCGTAGCGATCTCTGACCGAAGGATCGCGGGTTCGAGTCCCGCCTGGGGCATGGTTGTAATGTGTTCGTCCTTCCCCCCCCTTCATCATCATATCGTGTCATCCTCACAGTTACCATACCGTTACAAGCAATAGTGGTCGCTAATGACCTAGTAGTTGATGCGACCTTAAACGAAATGATGTGGTCGATGACGCCGCAAAACGCTCAGAATACCGGGAAGAAAGCAGGCGGGAGCGCAACGTATAATTGTGAAGACTAAGGATCGGTGTCACAGGTCCTTCACCGCTGCCATCGTAGTAAAAGGGACTGCGTTCCGTGGCCGTGAAAGTTGACACGCAAAGCTTTTACAATCCATTTTGTTGCGTTCAACTACAAGAATGAGCTTACTGTATTCGAGATAGAATCAGCGGTGGATCTGTGGGTTGGGACGATGAAGGCTGTTTCCTCTCTGCCTGGAGTACACTTTCGAATAATCTTGTTAGAGCTTCATCCAACTTTAGCTGGTTTACTTGTATGCCTTGCATGCTGCTGAGGAGTGATCCCTGAACATTGACACACATGTTGGCTTCTCGATTGTGAGCTAAGCAAATTGCGAAGCCCTTCATGACAAAATACTCTAAGTAGAACAAATATTCATGCCCCCACTGGGTTTCACATACCTAATTCTTTGGGCAGGTGCAATAAATATCCACTCTCTAAATCTAGCCCCAAATATCTCTATAGGCTATCTGAATAATATCACATTACAATTTACTATTTAAAGATCCTTTTCCGTTAATGTATAACAAATTATTACATTGTTATATTTCGTAATATACAATACGGCAATTGTATTTAATAATTCACATTAAATATAGTTTTTTATTAATTTTCATTGCGAGGCGAACTATTTTATTTAAATTAGAGTTTGAAGATTTGATATAGTTGATCACTACTCCACTACAGAATGTTATTTTAGTTGTTTTATTTACTACGTATGCAGCATTACAAAATAGTGTAATTCTTTAGACAGCTTAAATCCTAACGTACCGTGGCAAGAACATTTTAACGGGTTTTTAATTTTATTTTGATGATGTAGCTGTTTAAAATAAGGAATTTGTGATCAATCACTAAAAAGCTTCGTTTTTACTACGTTATATCGGTGGTCTGTAATCTAGAGTATAAATCATATCAAGGGTATAAATGAAACTCTTTTCTATTAAAATTCTTCATTATACTTCTATAAAAGAAATACTTTTACTACTTTTGGATTATGACATGCAATTACTCAACATTGATGGCTAAATCTCATGAAAATAGCTTTCAAATCACATATTCAATTTTCAATTGCTATCAATATAAATATTTTAATAGGAATGATTTCTAAATACTTCCTTTTATCGTTGAAAGAGGGAAAGAACTTAGCAAACAATTTAGGCGAGTCGTACCATAAACATCAAGTGAGGAGAGAAAATATGAATACTCATAGTGAAAGTAGCACTTGCCTCAACTTTATTTTGCCTCTGGCTTTATTACAACTAAATACGTTGACAAAGCATTCGTTTCGCTTTACGACCTCCAAAAGCAGTGAAACTGAGGTAATAATCACATTGTGGTGTGTTGTACGGCATATTAGGTGCCGCGTTTCTTAATGGGTGAAAGAAAGGAAACGCGATATTGTGTTGGCAATTAGCGGTCGATTGTGTGGAGTTTCACTACAAAGGTTGATAGTCTGTGAAAATACAAGTGTGTTGCGTGTTATGTTAGAAAGAATTTAGAGTTTGCGCATGGTATAGTCATCGCAGAATGTCTTATAATTTAACATCATTTAATTTATTAGTTAAAAAACAATAAAAAAAATTATATTTGAAGTATGGGGAAAATTACCATTATACTGTTCTGTGTCTTTAAAACCTACAGGGAAACTTTCTTTAATCTATTTTAAGTATGCGCTGTCTTTCTTTAAGTTATTTTCAAAACTACCCTTTGTTATAGACGGTCTATATTAAAGTTAAAAAAACTTTCTTTAAGCGACAGATGAGACAAATGTATCACACGCGATACATTGAGAATGTTTTTTCTAAGAGAAATTAGTGTTATGCGTCAATAAAGGACTATCATTTTCCTTTCAGAAAAGGAATAATTACGATGGTCTTTACGGGTCAACCACATCACGCTTTGAAATGTTAATGTATGTAAATGAAAAATATATATCACGAATTAAGTCTGAAATATGAATAATTGGCAGGTTAATTCGCCCACACGCCAGGCTATCCGGATAAAACTATGAATGTTTATGAACGGATAATTTCAGATTTCATTGGGATAATGTTGACATTAGTCACAGAATACTTGTTAATGTTAGTATTTGGGCATAAAAATGCATGTTGGAAATTATACGTTGCCCAGACTCAAAGCCAAGGCTAAATCACGAAAGTCGGAGCCTTGTCGCCCCATCTCAGATATGCCGAGCGAAGTGTCAACTGAGGTATTCTAACCTTCCTCTCTTGGGGGGGGGGGGGGGGGAATGGGAGGGGAATGGAGGGAGTATTTTATTCCGCTCTACACTCACCAGAGAAAGATTTCTCGGTATGAATAACGATTCGTCCGTTGGTTCCCGTTCTAATCGATTTCCATAAGAATGTATGGAGACTTTTGGAGGGTGTGCTGTTTACAGTATTACATGCACTAAATATCTACTCAAAGTTATATTTTTCAGAAAAGTATAATTCTTTGGAGCTTACTAGAAGAAAATATAATTAATCAACAGCTTACATATTTGAGTAATTAAATAAATAATTGCATTATTCTGCCAACACAAAAAAAAAACACCCAGAAATTGTAATAAAGAAAAACAAATTAATAATTCTTTAGCTCTCCAATAGAATTACATACACGAACTATTAACTCGGTTTGCTAGATCATATTGATTGGGAATTCAAGATTGCACATTGATCACACTGTCTTAAATATTCTTACATTGTTACATTGAATCCAATTCAATTCAGAACACTTATACATTCATGCACAAAATATTTCTATTTTATGTATGTTAAAGAAATCGCCTATGATAATTTCCTTGTAAATGGAAATAAATCACTCTTTGCTACTTTCTATTGAAAATTCAAAACCTGATCCTTCACTCAGCTGTTTTTTACTTATTAGTATTTCATTAGTTTAACTTTTATACATTCCTCCCTCCGCGACCTAACCCGTTTCATCGGTTGCATCGGTTGCTCACTACTTTAACATTCGTTCTTCGGTTACTGGATCTCTCCTCAAAACTTGCCAACACCGCGCTGGTACTGAAGCTCCATTTCTTTCGAGAGAGGCATATTTTTCTCCCTTTTGGCGGTAATGCTCAGCAAATAGAGAATATTCAACTCGGACTGCCACTTCTAACGAATTTTTCTTTTAATACTTCGCATATTAATGCTATGCCACAACACTCGTGTTTGTTGAGACAGACTACATTTTCCCCTAACATCCAAAAAATCTCAGATATCGTCTTAATATTGATTGTAATTACCTCTTTCCGAGCCTTTCGATGTGTAACTCTGCCAGAGGATTGTCGATTCGTTAGACCATTCAGCCATCTTCAACTCCTCTTCCGTAAACACAGTATTGCTCGTCACATGTTTCGCAATGGCAGTGAACCAATGAATCGTTCTGGCTTCTCTTTGCTTAGATCAACTTCATCGTTATGTCATTGGTTCGTTCGTACTGACGTCATTTACTCGTCACATTCTTCAAACTGATATCTGCTCTCTGACATTTCGTCGATACCGGGCTATTCAAACTTGAGATTTCGGTTCATACATGAGTATATACGTTCAGACGTGAATGAGTGGCTGAAGTATATTGTATGGTTTAGTTATGTTGGGGGCGGGGGACATGTAAATAAATATTTACGATTGACACAGTGAAACTCAAAACTGCACATTTAATTTATCACTAGCCTTAGAAACTTCTCATCTGGAGTCTAATAATATCTGCTACTCCTCATTATGACATACTTAATTTACGCAAGATGATTCTCGAAGCTAAACTGACTTGTGTTGGCTAAAGTCGCAACTCGACTACCCATTTTTGTTGATATAAACTTTGTCAGGCTACTCGAGAGTTAGCCAGATTCAGACTTTAGCCGTTAGCCACATTCAGAGGAGTGTGTTCGACACATAATCTCTGTTCAAATAATTTTGTACTTCTTGGACCGTATCTCTTAAGGGACTCTGACAATAAGTTACCGAATCAATTTTTAAACTATAAATGACGGTTACGTAGTATTCGCGACGGTTTGCCTTGTCCCCCTCGCCCTACGTTCAATATTTCTTGCTATCTGCCATCACGTACGCCAGTGGTTCCCCGCAGTGTAGATCCACGTCCACCGCATCGCAACCCTTTCCCAGTCCCGAGCGCTCTCGTGTTTAAACGCGCCCATTAAACCGAAAAAGTAGAGCGGCGGCTGAAGTGGTAATGAATTAATTCGAATGGGGCGTGGGGGGGGGGGATGTCTGGTGCCGTGATGAGGCGCTCTCTCGAGTGCCCGCTCGGGGCGAGAGCGGGAACGGCGAACGGGGGCGCGAGGAGGAAGCGGGAAGGAGGCAACGGGGCCTCCCGCCCCGTAAAGTCCGCTGCGAGATAAACTAGTGCTGATGCGAAATGGCACAGACTTTCTCATACAATTTATAACGGTTATGTAAAACGATAATAATGGTAATTATAACAATAATAACAACAATAACAATAACAACAATAACAATAATAACAATAATAATAAAATATCAATAATAACAATTTAACATTAACATAACAGCCGTCGTCTGTACCGAGGAGGCTCCAGGTTCGAGTCCTGCGAAGACATCGTATTAGTGAATATCCCTTCACCCCTCATCATCATCATCATCAACATCATCATCATATCATAATTCACACTTCAAAGCGTAACAACCTTGTCGTACTGAGGGATAAGCTGATCCTGGAAGAATTACACACGTTAATCGTGTAGCGTGGTCAGTAATGACATATATGCCAAATATAATAGTAATAGTAATAATAATAATAATAATAGTAATAATAATAATAATAATAATAATAATAATAATAATAATAATGTCTTTATTTCTAACGAAACTTAGACCATAAGACCTCTTCCGTCTAAGCTCCTAAATATCTTTACATTTACATAATTACCAGAGGCTTAACTCTTCACCTTACACCAATTGTATGAACATTGTATACTAGTGTGTTCTCACTCGCAGATGTTCTTCTCAATCACTCAATGTCGCCTTATTACTCGTCGCGAGGCTCGGGCCATCAGGCTTGCTCTTCCTCCTGACCACGCAAATTTCGCTACGATCCTTTCGCCATATGGCAGAGAAAGAAAACATTACTCGGGTGACGAAATCTTCGCAGACAAGACCGACCAAAACCTCTGTACAAGATATAACACCGGAGGCGGAGCTTTAGTGTGTCACTTCCTTGAAGAAGCCTGCGACATGACAGGCGAAACGTCGGCCTATCTGCCAACGACGCGGCGTCACCCGGACAGCCTAGAAGTAACGACCAAAATATCAACACTAGATCTTGAGACGCCCCAGATACCTCAACTCATGTGCGCCGCCGCCAACTTCATGTTCCCCCGGGCATCCTTCAATATACCTTTCACCTCGAGCAAGGGGTTGGGCCTTGAAGCCTCGCCCGCTTCCACAGGTTCAATGCAAAACGTCGCAATGGAAAAGTATCCAAACGTGTTTAGGTTCAATGTACGTAAGTGATCCAGTTGTCAAAATGACCAGAACAAATTTTGTACTTCAAAATAAATGTCCACAAGGTATATTACGTCAAATATAATACTAACTATATAATACTTGGCTGTCTGGGATGAACGGCGTGTCAGTCAATTGAGCTGACGTTTCGGCCATCGTGTGGTGGGGTTCTTCAGAGCTATACTGCTGGCTATACTGGTCAGAAGATCAAAACACGATGGCCGAAACGTCAGCTCAATCGACTGAGACTTAGCTCAGCCCGGACAGACTAGTATCAAATGGATCTGGTCGTGGAAGCCTACGAAAACATAATACTAACTGTAATTCGTATTCCAATAGACGTTCAGAATAAAATATGGGCCAACAAATTAGGAAATTCCTCAGGAAAGGCATAAGATATAGAAAGTGCTGACAATTACCGTACTCTTTTTGTTGTATATTATGATCTACATTTCACAATAGAAGAATCAATAGTGCACGAAGGTCCTGTTTCGTACGTTTTCGACATCAGTAGAATTTATTCAAACTCTTAGTTAATGACATAGATTTTATGCACTTCATTCCTTATATTAATGTAAACATCCGAGAAATCTAATCTAACAGAAGAATAGATCGGTGAATTTAAGAGTTAGTATGTACTTGTATGCTTAATTCCTTACTTGTATTATTGTTGGTCATTGTATTCTGAATATTTGTACGAATAGAACACTTTGGTAATAAAAGTTATGGGTATTTATCTTACTTTACCAGATTTGTTTTAGACATTTAAATATCTGGGACATTTATTTTCAACCACTAACATTTTTGGTCATTTGTTTTTGCTTTTTCATTTGGGTGTGTTGCATTGATCTAATAGCCGGGAATCGAAACGGGTCTCGAAGACACGACCCTCCGCAAACGGCGGAGCGGGTTCGAGCGGGTTCGAGCGGGTTCGAGCGGGCACTTGAAGTTTCTGGGTCGTCTTAGATTGACGGTTGAGGTTGCGGTAGGTCCTGTACACGCCGAGCCGGTTCTGTTTGCTCATGACTGGACGCTTTGCAGCTGAGAAATACGTGAGAAAAATATGTATTGCGTGAGAAATCTACTGGGTATAACTCTCAAACACTCATTCAATTCATGGATGTGGAAGAATCATTCGGAGAATAATTCTTGATACTCATTGAGCTGCCACTATTCTGATTGAATTCTAGCCATAAACACTGGTGTGTGAGGGAGCTTATAATAATAATAATAATAATAATAATAATAATAACAATAATAATAATAATAATAATAATAATAATAATGTCTTAATTAATGGCGAGGCTCAGGCCATAGGGCCTGCTCTTCCGCCTAACCACTGAATTTACATACATTTAGAGTAGTAACATTTTAAGAGGGGAGGACAAGCTGTACATTTACGTCTGGGAGAACAAACCTAGGAACCATCCCGGCATACGCCTTAAGCGATTGAGTAAACCCAGAAAAACCTCAATCAGGATGGCGGCTTAGGGCCGAACATTGGAGCTTATTGGTACGAATACTATTGTTTCGCATTCCTTGTTCACGAGAAGATGCGTAACAAAAAATTATTTATTTTGGTGTATTATCGTAAAATACCTTTGGTATATGTAGGAAGTACGATCGTGCAGATCAAGTATTCCATACAATTCTCGGGAGCAAACATTTCTTGAAATCAGATAATTTTTCTTTCGAAAGTCAGATGTACCTCTAAGGAGATTATAATCATTTACATTTCTTCAGATGTCTTGTTCTATCATATCAAACAATATGATGTAATCAAACGGAAGAGTGAATAATTCAACATTGATAAAGTCTTTCTTTAATTATACAAACGCATAGAAAATTTTACTCGAACTGAGTAGTACATCTCAGGATATCACACTCGAATCAACTGGGATAACTCAATTAAAGAAATCACGCACATATCGCTGTGTGCTTCAGTGGCTGTCTTCGCGGGCGAAAGTGAATCATCGTGCATGGCAAATGAGGGAAAGGAACCACTACGTGCACAAATGCACGCGGAGATATTCTTAATTTTCTCTCCTCACATCTCTTGCGAATTTACTGATTTGAATGATTAGACGATACAATTACAACCATGCTACAATCGACAAAAATAAAATGGAAAATTTGAAGCTCGGATTGAGAATGCATCGGGGTAAAAACTCTTATGAGTAAACTCATCTAATGAGAGCTACAAACACAAAAATATGTTATTTCTTTGTCTTTAAATCAGTGAGTACCTTTTGTTGCGTATTCCTCTAGTAACCGGGAAGCAACCGGTGTTCAAGCACAGATGGCAATAGGGAATGGGAAGGCTATCGGGGCGGGTTTTGAGCTTCTTTTGTCAGACACTGTCTGTGGAAATGCCTCTCCTTCCGGATTTTTTAATCCAAACCCTGGCTAATGTGAAATTTTGAACAAATTTCTATCCCACACATAAGCGCTTCTATCGCTATTAAAGTCATACAATTTTATTTGTTGCTTGTGTGAATTGGATATTAGAAGTGATGAATAACTCTGTTTTATGTAACTCACACAGTGTTGACTCGGGGGACTGTTTTCTGAAGTAAAAAAGGCATTATGAATTATTTATTGTATTATTATTTCTTCATGTATTGGGCTCACTAGAAGACATTATATTACCAAGTTTTGCGAACGACTTTTGACCTTCAATAAACTTAATAAACAATTAAATAATTATCAATTAAATTTTCGTATTTTAGAGTGGATTTCAGTCAGTTCTTAAACAGGTTTTCAGGGCTTGCAGTAATCTTTCTATGAAGTTGTACAAATTAAATTATTGTAGGATTTTTAAAGAAGGAGCAGTTAGTTT